CAGCACTAGAACAGATTTTCTGCAAGGTTTCTTGGTTTTCCCCTGCTAATGATCATTCCACCATTGCTCCATATTCACTTTTACCATCCCTGGATGCCTGTAATAGCCTCGATAGGTAGCACACTATTGCATCTCAGTTTCACATTTCGAACTTCATCTCTGACCTGGCTACAGAGTAAGGAATTTTTTTATTTATTTATTTGTTATACATACATATCTAAACCAACACAATTTTTCTTCTTCTTTTCCTGATTTACATTATTTGAACAGGTGTGAAATTTCAGAAGTTCATAGAACATACAACACAAGTGTTCTTGACATTAATGTGTAGGAGGGGGTCAGAACACACTAGAAATGGGTGTATTTGGGTTTCAGACATGTTAGACATGACTATATTTGAGGTTAGTCCTTAATAGAAAGAGGCATCAGTACCTATTGGCTAGAGGATGGACAACTGTGAAGCTGGGTTAAATGAGCAGGTGAAGAAAATCCCTTCCCCACAGAGGAATGAACCCCAGTCTTCGAGCTCATAGCAATGCACTTTACTGAAATGTATTATTTCAACTGATTATAAAGGTTGTTTTCATAAACCACTGCCAGAAATTACTTTGTTTTATTAATAACACTTCATAAAGACATATCCCATGAAATAAAATAAATTTTATTTTTCCAAATTTACTTCTTCAAATATAACTATGTGTAGTTAAGCTATCATTGATTCCAATAGAGCTCAGCATTTTCAGATGGGGTGTTTTTAGAATATTAGTGATGCTATCATTTAGTGCCCAGTGAACCCATAAGGCATTATTACACTAGCAGATGTCATGAATGTAGTGAACGCAACTGATTTATCATTCTATTCAGTTCAGTACATTCTTCTTACAGAAGAAAAAGTGTATTTTATGAGTTTACAACAATAAGGAAACTTATTTATATTTCAAAATGAAGTCTGTTCTCCCAAACTGTGGGTCATCACCACTAGAGGTGCTAGCACCATACAAAATATGTTATAAAATCTGACACGTTAAAATTCTCACTAAAACGAGCAAGTAATAAAAAGGGACCTTTAAATATTTCATATTTTATAGACAAAATTTGTAAAGCTGCTTTTCAGTTGATTTCCGTTTTGTATGTGTGGTCTCAAATTGGGTACAATTTATACGGTAGTCATGCTTGCAACTTTCAGTGAATACATTATGCTCATTGTGTATGGAAAGAGTGGCTTGTCGACACAGATACAGTGCGTACAATCAAGTGCGCGCCGCGGCTGCAGTTTGCCGTGAGTCATATCACCGCAGAACGGATGCAGTCGCGGGGAGTGTTGCAACTCCTCCCCGCGACTGCATCTGTTCTGCGGTGGTATGACTCATGGCAAATTGCAGCCGCGGCGCGCACTTGATTGTACGCACTGTATATGCAACTGTATGGTCTACTTGAAAGATTAAGTAACATTCTGTAATCACAAGACATCCAGTCAATCTGTATAAATACATAAGATTTAAGTGATTCTCTCTCTCATATTCTCACACAGCATTCATTTTAGTTTTACTGCTGACCTCTATAGAAGAGATTCATGTGTGAACTTCAGTCCTGACATTGTATGTCTTACTCCACATACGAGCTATTTCCAATGCAAGTTTAAAATAATTTAGTGTAACTAATATCAAGTTATTAAGCTGCAGAAGTAAATTTATTGAAAACTTAAGACATTGATATTGTTAATGTCTGGCTGACAGATATATTTTATAGAATTCTTTTCTCTTTATTTTTTTTCTTATAGTATCTTGTAATTCTCAGAATCTGCAGCTTACAGTCAACACACTATACTTACAAATATTTCAGTACAAAACATGGACATGAAATTAGACTGAAGAGGGAAATTTCACTGTGAAATACTTCAATACAATAATTATAATGCAATGATAATTACATATATATAAAATATATCCACAAGTGGAGGTTATGTTTTTACATATTTTCATTCATTCTGATGACCATGATAGAATATTGACTTACACGTTTTTCGTAAACACATTTATACAATTCTACTATAAATCTTATTTTTACAGTCTTATGTGCAACTATTTGTTAGCTTAGAAGTTTAAAATTTTTAAGTTATAAATTTAAAATTTAAAGGTCACATGTTTTGGCCAATATGGCCATCATCAGGTGTTAGAGTATATCTTGACGCTGATCATTCTGAGCCCTTATTTATTTGGATGATTATAGATGACCATGAAATTTATTTCTAATTAATTCTCGGTAATTTTAATTTCAAAAGTCTTATGTTTCGATATTACTGGAAATGTATTGTGATCCTTAATATCGTATTTCACTGTCTGGGACGTGCAATACGGTGTTTATGTTGAAAATTTCTAGATTCTGGCAGAAACAAGAAGTCCGGAGTTATGACATTTACGATCAGTCATAAATTTAGCTCGGGTACAGGGAACCGGACGCTCCTAAAAGGACAGGTCAGAGCTTCTTACAATTGCCTGTGAATGAGGGCCAGTATGATTGGGATGCCTCGTTCAAGCTTCCTACAGAAGATGGGATGAAAATATATATGTCAACACCATCTTTCAAATTCCCGGCGTGGGGGTGCAAGCCATTCCACAAAGGGGAGACTTTCACAATATTCCGAACTGAACGGACGTGACCCTTGCACGCTCCGGGACATAGCTAGCCGATAGTGTAATGCTGTAACTTAAAGCTAAGAATACATTAATTTAACAGTGTGGTGAATTAGCAGGTGAATAAACGTCAATTGGCTCAACTCTCAGAAAAACGCTTTCTTCGGCATCGCTACCCTGAGACCCATTCAAACCGACTCAGCTAGTTTCCCATACCTATACCGATATTCCTTAGTTTGATCTGTGAGGACAACTTCCAGTAGCCATCATACACTGTCCTAAGGTAGAAACAGGTGTACCAGGGATAGCACCATTTCGACTGCGCCGATACAAGCAAAGGCGGGTTGGAAAAGAGCGGTGTTAATCTAATGGGGAAACTTCTGCTTTCTGTTGTCACTGCTATTACATGTGTAGGTCCCTCGGATGAGCACGTGTTGTAGTTAGAGAGTTGTGCTTCTTCCTACAGAGTTCTTCGCAGCGTATCTCATTCAAGAATTGAACATGTTGTGACCTTAAAATTTTTTAACTTTTAAGTTAATAAATAGTTGCACATAATATTGTAAAATAAGATTTAAAATAAAATGGAAGAGTGCAACAGGATGTTACAATACAATAACATTTATACAATTTTATATTTTAAAATATATTTGATAGTCATGATACATGATTCATCTGAAACAAGAGTTCTGTAACAGACTTTTTGATGATCCATTATGACTTACTGCTATATTTGGTGAAGTTAATTATTGATTCCACAATGCATAATGGCATCTTTTTTACATATCTCCATCTGATACAGCATGTACTGTTTCCGTTCTCATCTAAACACACTCGCAATACGCTCTTGCCTATATTCACAGCTGGAAGACAGCACATTCACACATTTCAACAAATTGAATAAAATTAGGGTGAGATGCAACTGGCAGAAATATAGACATTGATTCAACAGATCTTTGATTCTCCTAGATTTTGAAGTCTCTGTTTACCAAGAGTTTTCTCTACTAAAGTTCTGTATAGATTTCTTGTCTCTATGATCTTAGAAGTGCGAAGCCCATCATATCTTCCCAGATTTCGCTTTCTCAGTTAAGCTAGGATATAAATAATCAAGTTCCTTGCTACACATTAATACTATATTGCCCATTTCATCCTTCTAGGGTAGACATGGGTGATCATGGGAGGCACTGGTATCCTCTCTATCCTAAATCTTTTGGAAGAATTAAAATTGAAGAAAAAAGAATGCAGTATGTCAAATATCAATACCAAAGATAAAAATTATTTTTATATGTTAGTGAAACAGGATAGTGCAGTTGGTATAGCGACTGCCTACAGGCTGGACAACTGACGGGTCGGAGTTCGAGTCCCAGTAGAATAAAAAGTTTTCTCTTCTCCACATCATCCAGACTGTCTCTGGGGCCCACCCGGCCTCATATCCAATGGGTACTGTGGACTTTCCCCAGGGGTAAAGCGGCAGGGGCATGAAGCTGACCACTCAACTCCAGCTAGTGCGGAGGTGAAGAAAATGTGGATCTATATATCCACTCCCCCATAAGCCTTCATGGCCTAGTTCTTAATTAGTTATGCACAGGGACAACTCTACCTCTTTTTTTTTACCATTTTACAATCTATGCTTCAACATGCCCTACAGCTGTTTACTTATATAAATATAAGTGTGCACGCAAATCCCTTAGAAAAATTGTGGTGACACCCATGGGTGTACATGTTTTGCTGAGTATTTTGTTATAAAACAACCATGCATTATTAGCAATATGATTTCTGTTTCTGGTATTTACAGATAAAACTTGGGAAGCCAGAGTACAAATCTTCAGGTTTCTGTAGTCACCCTCTTCCAGAATAACTTTTACAAGCTTAACATTAAAGCAAAGTGGAAACTCCTGTTCTTGTAATGTTAAATTACTAGAGTGTAAGGAACATTTTCTTAGAAATTATCAAATGTAGGCACTTGATGTTTTACAACATCTAATATTATCCTTCATATGAAATTAACTTAGTGAAACCGAACTTGTAAAATTTCACTTATGGATATAATTTGTTTTAATGTGATAATATATTTACTAATTTTTCACTTCTATTCACCCCACAAAATTAATTTTTTAACATAGGCTTACATTTAAAACTTACTTAGTTACTTAAGGATCTGAGCTCTTCTTGAGAAGCCACCAATTCTGCAGCTACTCGAGAATTTCACAGCATTTTATGGAACCCAAAGGTTCATTACCATGCTCACACGAGACCTCCAGTGGTCCCTATCTTGAGCCAGACCAGTCCAATCCATACCATCCCATCCTATCTATCTAAGATCCATTTTAATATTGTTCACCCACCTACATCTTGGTCTTCCCAATGGTCTTTTTTCTTTTGGCTTTCCCACCAATATCCTATACGCATTCCTCTTCTCTCCCATTCAAGCTACATGCCCTGCCCGCATTTTAAACACTTTGATAAAATACATAATCCACAGTGTACACAAATTTTGAAAATTTCATGCTTATCTGTTAATTAGAAGCTAAGAAAACGTTCCTTTGGCACAAAGAAACTGAACCTACAGGAATGAAACTTCAGAGTAAATCAAAATGCTCACAAAAGTAGATGCATAACTCACATCTCATTTAAAGGTCAAAGTTTCCACTCTTTTATCAATCAAAAAGCAAACAATGATTTTCATATAATTCTTCGGTTCTCGGTCCTCTTGAAGAGATGCTGTCCTTTAATTCTGGTGCATGAGTCTATGTGAAGAAACCTGACACCTGGCCCACCGAGCTGAAAGGGGATTGATATTGTTCCATGCTTGAAGTCTTTACTCGTGTTTGGAAATAACAGTTCCACCCATAAGATCTGAGTCATCAATTGCTCCATTGTACCCCTTTGCCTTTTTGGATCGTGCTGCCCATTCCACGAAGCAGAATGAGATGGTTCCGAAGGTACCCAGAAGTACCAGAATTCCAAGTTGTGCATGTAGACCAATATGGCTGCTATAGAAGAAGCTGGCAGCAGCAGCAACAGACTGGGAACAAGAGCGATAACTAATTACCTAACTGTCTTAATAACTAACTAAGTAACTAATTCTATGGGGCACAATCATTCTTGAGCACTTAACAGTTGTTCATCTAGTCAAAAAAATGGTTAGCATTTTATACAATTTGAAAGTTCATGACTGTGTTCACACGAGCCCTGAGTGACATTAATCGAGTTCACACTGTACCATCCTAATATCTTAAGATCCATTTTAATATTATTTGTTATCTGTGCATAGGTCTTTCCCAATGGTTTCTTTCCTTCCTACCAAAACTCTGTATGTGTTTCTATTCTATGTCTCTCTCTTGCGTTCTTATGAGTGCTACATGTCTCGCCCATCACATCCTCCTTGATTTGATCATCTTATTGTTATTTAATGAGAAGTGCATAGATAAAACTCGTGCAGTTCATCCCGCTTAGATCCAAATATACATATCTATGTTCTTCCCTTAATGTAAGAAACCAAATTTTACACCCATAGAAAACTGCAGGCAAACTTATACTTCTGAATATTTTAATCTTTATGTTTTTAGACAGCAGGCGAGACTGAATAGTAGCAAGCATTCCCCAAGCTTAATGTCCTATTAATTTCTTCATGAAAACAATTTTGATTTGTTAGAATTATAAGAACAGGTGACATTCTATTAAAACAGAAGCAATAATAGAAATGCATCAACAATCAGTATTGAGGCTTAATACTCACAGATGGATTTAGAAATAAAAAGAATACATGGCTGCTGGGATCAGCATGCATCTACGTACTTGAGTGAATTTGAAGAGAGCAAAAGCTGGTGCACTGTCTTCAGGGAAGACCCCTCCTAGTATAGAGTAGATCTGTGTGTTGTAACAACTGTCTCCAAAGCCAAGCAGCAGACTGCACAGGATGGCTACATATGCACTACAATGATCAGACAAATAGATAAGTTCATTGCAGATCTGTAAGAGAGTTTTCAGTTTGCAAGAAGGGACCATTTATACTTATGGATATAAATATCAAGTACGCTGACGCAGATAATGATTAGCATCGCCATAAAGCTGGCAAGATGCCTATACTACACAATTTGTGACCAAACATTAAAAAACATAATTTCAATCACTTTCTGTACACATATAAATGGCGTTCCAGAGTAAGTACTACAATTTAATTCTCTAGTAGGGCCGCGCCATAGCTGAAGCGGTTAGTCGCTGGCTTCCCACTGCGGCGGCCTGGGTTTGATCCCGGGTCTGATGAAGTGGGATTTGTGGAGGACAAAGTGGCGCTGGTGCGGGTTTTCTCCAAGTAACACTTTGTATTAACAGACTGTCCCTGTTCTTCTGTCACAACAGTGTGGATGTACCTCTGCTCCAATCCCAAATAAAACAGTAAGTGACTGGTGGGGCACACATGTTTCTGTGCAAATTTTATATCAAGTAATAACTGCATATGAAAACAGTAGTGTTAGATTATAAATTAAATATGAAAAATGCTGTTTTAATGCATAACTCTGTCTTGCATTCATTTCTTACTGTTCTGTTTACATAGCCAGAACAAAGAGCAATATGCCCCCTCATTTCAAATACTTACTTGCTATTTATGAAAGCAGCTTCATCTGTGTCCCCAAAGGGAGCAGCATTGGGCAGATTTAGAAAAATGAGAAAAAAGGAAATAACATGAATAAGAAATCCAAACATTACAATTGGATCACGACCCCATCGTATTGTCTTCGATCCCAGGATTCCAAAGAGAGCACCACCTATGATCAAAATAATTTGAATTAAATCACAAAAAGCACTAAGCAACCTATAATAGGTAAAGTTAAATTTATATTACACTCAACACTCAATTTTGTCATGAACTTTTCTAACAAGAATACAGTGCTTTTAATATTTAAAATTTTGTTCCTGTTAATAAACATAACTGAACAAAGAATAACTCAGAAAATCCATATATGCCTTCTTAAACAGACTGACACTTCGACATTATACAGAGGTAAGAAATTTAGAAAGTTATAATTCAATCACAACCCTCGTTGGTGTCTCCACCTTATCGTGGTGAGGGGGTTTGAGTATGCCAAGGACCCTGAGAGCTATACCAGCGGTAGCATAGCTACTGGCAGGGCCTCCCTTGCTGGACAGGTCAAAGGGTAGGCATCAGACGAAGAGAGACACCAAAAACTGATGCCGGAAGCAGCGTCATCAGCAGCGACTTGAAGCACAGAGCAAATGATGCTCGAGATGGTTCAAGTTCGTATAGCAACAGGCGTGACCAGAGTGGTTTGAACGGCTGTTGTACTGCGATGTGGAAAGCAAATGGAAAAACTACCACATTATCACTTTTCCTGGATAGTCTCTTCCCAAAAACAGAAATACCATATATTCGAGGTTAAACTGGAGGGGCGGATAGAAGTGACCAGAAGACGAGGAAGAAGACGTAAGAAGATACTGGATGACTTTGGGGATAGAAGAGGATATTTTTATTTGAAGGAGAAAGTTGAGATCGCATTATTTGGAGGAACTGTTTTGGAAGAGACTGTGGACCTGTCGTCTGACAGATTACTGATGAATGAATGAATTCAGTCACAGTTGACATTTACTTATTCATGGAGCTGAGCTTTTCTTGAGAAGCCGCCAATTCTGCAGCTACTCAAGAATTTCCCAGCATTTTATGGAACCCGAAGGTACATTTGACATTACTGTTATTAAAACAAACAAGTGGCAGGGGACACTCTTGCACTCATAAGAACTCTAGGTCACCATCCGGACCACACCGGACCCACTACTTGTTAACCTGATTAGGAACGAAATGATACAATAGGCAGATTAAGTTAAACTCAAGTAGTCTGTTGAATGTTAGGCGTATTTTGAGAGACAGATCATAAATTCCCTTCAACATAACTTGCTACTGATACACAGAAGCTTATTTTATGCTCAGTTCTTAGTAAAACGTCCATACCTAATACTTCTCCCACTCCAATAAATATTCCTGACAGCCCAACAAGCTGTTTTACATTTGAGCCCATCTGTTTCGTGAAACCAATGCTGGGACTGTACACTCCACTGAAGAAAGACAATTCAATGCCTGAAAGAAATAAACAGAAATATAAGCTCAATTATGTTACACCCAACCACAGGGATGCAGTCCAAAGGACTTTACAGATCAAAATCTATATTTTCACTGCAGTGAAAACCTCAAACCTCATACTTTTGGTTATGCATCTGTGACATTTGGCTGGATGAGTTGTTAGCTAGTACAGTCAATTTTAAGATGAAATATGAAATCTGTGACTAGTTTGTAATGCTGTCTCTGGCTTGCTAGTCAGAAAATGCTGAGGTTCTTTGAGTACGACTATTTATTACTTAGTGAATAAATTAATCACATTTAAACAACTGTTTGTAATTATTTATAATATTAATTATCAAGAATAAAAGTTGGGCCACCAATTATTTGAATGTCTATTTTTCTTATAACTTTGTTGCTATGTTCATTTTCAGATCTATAAATATTAATATTAATTAGCTCACATAACTGAAATACAGTATTTTAATTAGCCCTATTTAGACATGACCATTGATTTACTGTTAATCATTACATGGTAGCGTAGTTGGTTCTATGAGGTCATTGGATATTTCAATTGACCTAATCCTTCAGCTGCACTATGGCCCGGGGTCGACTCAGCCTCCAACAGAAATGAGTACCAGGAATCTTCCTGGGGATAAAGGGTGGCTGGCATATAAGGCTGACAACCTCACTGCCATCTGTGAGCTGATTGCCTAGAAAATGTGGGAACCTTGACAGTTCATAATTTTATGGGCCTCCACGGCCTGTTACAGGGATAGCCTTACCTTTTTTGATACTGATAATAATAAGTATTGCAGCCTTTTAACCTTGTATGTGAATTATTTTGAATACAGTTCTTCATTACAGAGGTTTTGAGACTTCTACAGTAAGTGATCATTTGGTTTCTGACACACTTCAATCTCCTGCTTTTTGGAGGAGCATGCTGCCCGTCATCCTCAGGGCTGAAGTGGGTAGACTGATGATCTGGTTATATGACAAGTATACAGGCAAGTCTGGACCTGAAATGGGTTCTGTCTCTTTTCCCACTCACATGGAACTAAAAGACCACTTTCCTTAAAAGCCGTAGACAATGTAGCACTGCACATCAGGACAAGGGTCATATGAACACAAACTTAATTAAGCAATACACCATGAAGGTGTATTGGGGCTTGGATGTATAGATCCACATATTCTTGACATTGGCACAAGCGAAAAGTGTGAGAAATGCTAAGTCACCAGCAACTGTAATAAAACCTTTCTAACATAAATTGCACGTAATTTACAAAGACAGAGGCTGTTCAGAAACGCGCAATCTGAACAGAAATGAAAAGTAGAATAAATTGTTTCATACTTCTTAAACACTGTACAATACAACACTTATCTTACCCTTGCTTATTTGTTAGAAATACTCCACTTCTATTTTGTAGCCTCTAATGGAGGTCCAATATGAATTTTAAACTGACAGCTTAGTCAGCACAGAGTGGATAACTGGGGTTCAAGTCCTGGCAGGGGCAGAATCTTTCTCTTTGTCATCAAGTCAAGACTACATTTTAAGCCAACCTGTGCCCCTGTTCAAAGGATACTGGGAAAGATCTCCTTGTGGGTTAATGCAGCTGGAGTAGAAAGCCGAACACCTACGTCCAGCACACCTCCCACATGCCTTCATTGTATGATGCTATTTTTTTTTAATTCACATAGTGAGGGGGTGGAGTCCAGCTGGGTTCACTCAGCACGTCGGCCACTTATTTGCCTATTGTACCCGCCCCGGGTGATTATGATGATGGAGAATTTGGTGGAACGAAGACTGGCAGGGGAAACTGAAGTACTTGGAGAAAACCTGCCCCAGCGCCACTTTGTCCACCACAAATTCCACTTGCTGAAACCCGGGTGCGAACCAGGGCCGCCATGGTGGGAAGCCAGAGACTAACCGCTTGAGCTATGTCACGGCCTTGTATGGTGCTTAATGAGACGGATAATCTCTAACTAACAAAATGATATGAACTTCATCTCATAGGTTAATTTACCTGTATAGAAGAATGTTACACTGAGCAGGATCATTTCTTTGGTAATCAAGAGGGCGAATGCCCTCCTCAGAGCATTCAGTGGGCCACCTTCCTCCTTCTGTACCATTTCTCCATCTGGACTCTGAGCAGGTCGTAAGATTAACAGGAATACAATGCCAACAGCCGCTATGATAAGCAACACTATGAAAACACTGAGCCGTGTGTGTGCATCTATGTGTGTCTTGCCTTGGAATTGGAAGTACACGAAAAGGTTTCCAAAAAACATGCTGGAATCATATGAAAAGGTAAGTGATAATTCAGAATCTTTATAATTTAAATAATGGTATACTGAGTCATTTTGCATCAAGGATGTGTTCCTTGATAGTTGTTTATTACAAGAGAAAATTCATAAAGTTCCTATTAACATGGGAGAAACAATTACAAATATCATTTTTCATTTGTTAGAATATTTCAAAGCATGGGCTGCAGTAACATTTGAAGAGAAAAAAAGTGTTAAAAATATTATAATAAAATTGAGATGACATTGAAATTCAGTGGGTAAAGGCAGTTAGCGTGATTTCTGGAAGCAATATACAGTGGTAAAGGAAGTCTAATGAACTGAAAAACAGTTAGATCTGACAGTCGATGAAAACGTCTAAAAAAAGAAATTAATATATAATCATTATTTTGAAGACAAGCTGAGTCTTTGAACATCAGATGAATGAAAGCTTCCATCAGTTTATATACATAAATTAATTAAATCATACTGGTTGCACTCGATGGTGCTTATGTTCACTTAATGCCAAATAGTGTGATGGTCCATAAAGCCTTCTGTTAAAATATTAGGGTTGTTCAAACGAACCCCATTTAGGGATAGTTCTAGGTGAAGGAATAGAGGTTATTAAAAATTGTCCCCATGGGCAATGAGGTGAACATCCCATTGACACCCCAGTTATAGGATCCCCTTCACAAATAACTCAACTGCTGGAACCATGGCACCACTCAGGCCCAGCTGAATACATGAATGGATTTCATTTGAACACCACTTTTAAGGATTAACAAATTAACAGAGATATCTGATACCTGGCCTGCAGCATAGCCCAGAAAATACCAGAATTTCTGGATATTGTCAATGAGTCTGAATTAAGTGTGAGGTAGTTGCCCTGGCCTGTCCAGATAATGGCTGCCCCAAATCCCATCACACACGATGCCAAGTAGAGGAGCCACGTTTTAGGAAGCAGGAATGATGCAATGAACAAACTGAAACAAGAATAAATTCATTGTGAGGGGAGAGCTGAGCTTAAACCACAGCCTTAAACGACGAAGCGGTCCCCGCCATAGCTCGCGGTTAGTCGCTGGCTTCCAATTGCGGTGGCCTGGGTTTGATCCCGGGTCTGGTCAAGTGGGATTTGTGATGGACAAAGTGGCGCTGGGGCAGGTTTTCTCTGAGTACTTCGGTTTCCCCTGTCAATCTTCATTCCACCAAATTCTCCATCATCATAATCACCTGGGGCAGGCTACAATAGGCCAATCAGTGGCCGCCGTGCCAAATGGACCCAGTTGGACTCCATCCCCCACTAAATGATGAAGTGTCCGTCACTTGCATGTGAAGGCACCCAGAATGTGCCTGATTATTTCCACTGTGACTCATGCTATTCATTTCTGACATCTTTCACTTAAAGATATAAAGTACAAAATAAATTACTTTGAGGTACCTTTTCAATATGACAACCATATTCAAAATAAAAGTATAAAAAATTATAAAAAGAAATTTCATGTATACTGGTAAAGGACAAAATTAATACAACTTAACATACCCCTGCCAAATGTTACAAATGTTTATTTACATACCATTTACAAACATCAGTGTTGGATATAAGTATGATACACTGTTGAAAATGATATTTTTATGAGGATGCATAAGTTTTGGTAAAACCTGAAATTATATGTACATTCCTTGAATATGGGAATTGCATTCAAAGTAAAATATAAACAATGCATATAATATGTGAACAAAATGAGATAGATATTAAATTAATAATATTAAAAAAAATTCTACTAACCATAGTTATATGGCTTGCAAATATAAGGAAAGCAAGACAAAAGAAAATTTCATTCTTGAAATACTATACTCCTGGAAGTTGTA